CACACACACACACACACACACACACACACACACACACACACACATATATGTATATTGTGTTTCTCCTACTTAAAACCATCACACTTTTTTATTTTACATATAGTAAAAACGTTTCTGAAACATATCCCGAATAAAAAAAATTAATCATTTTAAGATCTTTATTCCCTACCATTTACAACATCATCCTAATAAGAATCTTCACAAATCTAAATCCGCAAAAATTGTTGGAAGATCTTTATGTTGCATTTAAAATTAATAATTAATATACAGCATAAACCACTATCTGAAAATGAATGGCGAACATTTATTATTACGTGGAACTCTATAATGCGGAGAATAATTGTTTATGATACTGATAAGATTATTATGACATATGTAGACAAAGAAGAATCTTCAAACGATAATTATCATATGTTTATTAGAAGTATCACAGCGATGTTATTTCGATTTCATATATGTAAGTACAGATTTCTAATAAATTTCTATGAATAGAAATTATTTTAAATCGAACATCAAATAATGAAGAAAAATTATATCCACAAATATATTTTTCAGATGATTTTCTACATACAACTGTTGAGAATGCAATTTTAACAAGTCCTGTCTTCCAATTTAATAACAGAACAATGTGCATACAATTGTTAATTGGTCTCTGCGCCGAATGCGAAGCAAGTATAGTCTTGCATGATTTTACCAACAATGATGTGTTTGTAATGGTAACAGCAAAAGGCTCGAAAGCAATTCATGGCTTACCTACGTGGCAATCTGTCAAAATCAAGATAAATTCTTCAGCACTTGATTATAATACTGACAGTAAAATGATAATCGAATTGATTCCTAAACTAAATAAATACAGTTCGAATCCGTTGTGGGCGATAGCGAACGTTCGTCAATGTTCCCAAAACGGTGAGAATTTTGTAATTTTTTATTTTTTTATTATATTCGGAATTCTATTGCTTTGAATTACGTACTTTGTACGTTTGTCAAACATTACAAAGACTTTCCACAATTAATTTGTTTTTGTACGTATAGATTAATTTATTATTTTTTTTTAAAAGCTTTGAGAGAGGGTTTTATGATTTCTGGGCAAGATTGGAATAATCAGCTTAAATATTTTTGGCCGAATGAGACATGCCAAAAATTATTTTACGATGAACATGCCACCGTGAATCATTTATCGAGCATCAAGTTTGACGCAAATCTGGGTACTTACTAACAATTATTATTTACGTCATATAATTGAAATTAATAATATAATATATTTTATTTATTAAGTCTTTAAAATATAAATAAGTTAAAAAAATTATTTATTCACTAAATTTTTAAATCTACAAGTTGAAAAAAATATTTTAAATATGAAAAGTATTTTAATATAAAAATAATGTTTTAGCAGATACTGACACATATTGTCCTGAAGGAAAAATTGGACCGCAATGTTTATTTTCTTGTACTCATCATCTAAGTAGTAACTCTGATTGCAAAGGAACTGAACTTTGTTATGAATATGGTTGTATGTGTGCTTCAGGTTTTTTAGGAGACGATTGTTCTAAATGTAAATAATTTCTAATATTATCAGCACTATTTTTATTTTTATATATTGTAAAATATTTAAACATTTAATTTTTGATTTTTCAGCTTGTAACGCATATACATATGGTTATGGTTGTATGAAGACATGTGGCTCATGTTTTTACAATGAACAATGTAATAAAGCAAATGGAGAGTGTAGTAAAGGTTGCAATAATAATAGTGAAAAAGTTTATATATCACCTTTATGTCAAACAAGTAACAATCTTTTATATAATACATAGCATGCTGCTTTTATATTATGTCAATTGAACAATATCTATCATTATTACAAGTATACAAATAATCAATCATTTTACAGGCGTAGACAAGCCCGACGAACCTACAATTATTTCGATAAGTGAGACGACTATTCACGTCGTTATTCCTATAACATGGAAGGACGAATATGATAAAATATCGATTCATTATTCTTTTGACATTCGAGTAACATTTTAAATTGAATACATTTTGAAGTATTATTTTTTTTTAATTCCTTAAAATAACAAGAATTAGTATTTGAGTTTAGTAGTAACAACAAAATTTACAATCGATTTAAATATTTGAATATCATCTATTCGACAATAAAATGAAAGGAAAAGTTTAATTTTATGATACATTTTTTACAGACAAATATTAAATATATTGAGCAACCATGGAACGAGTTATTTCGAAATATGACACAACTTACAGGAAATTTTGAAAACTTGGAACCTGGTGTTATTTATCATATCGGTTTGATCCTGGATATTACTGGAATAAAAATACATAGTGATTGGCAAGTAGCTGAAACTAAATGCAATCGTGAGTCAATATTTTTTTAAATTTAGAAATTAAATTAATTAATGTTAATTTCGTAAATAGTTATTCAACCTTTATATTTATCATTACATTCTATATAAATGAAATTAAATAAATCAAAATTTATTATATTATTATTACATATATTATTTTTATTATATAGAAACAAATTTAATTTTACATTGTATGATGCAAAATTATTTAAAAATAATTAAAAAATTGCAAATTAACTTATTGATTGAGTAATTAATAGAAGGCTATCTTTATTATTGTAAAACTCGTAATAAAGATATCATTTCAGTTTTTTATTTACTTTTATATAAATAATACAATATTTTCTATAATAACTCTTTGCATTATGATGCAGCGGTTGAAAATTTCAATATAACATCCAAAGAAAACAGCATCACTATTAATTGGCAACTCAATCCAACAGTATGTAGATATTTTATGTAAATTTGATTCAGATCTCTTTTAACTTTGCATATTGCATTTAAACATTTTATCACAGTATTTCGGAATAAATGAAACTCAACTTTGTTTTTTTTTTATCACAGCAATTATATTCATGTCCGATAAATTGGTATCATCTGACAGTTTACAAAATAGATACGAGTATGGTAGTCAGTTCTTTAACACCTACATCCTTTGAATACGAATTGGAGTACTTGCCATCATACACTTCTTTTGAAGTGAATATATATCATAAAAATCATAAGTTATTTTCCCAGGAAATTCATACGCTTGAAGGCGGTAAGTTCACTTCAAAAGAAAGAGTTTGTATATTTTTGCAATATAGATATGTATTATGTTGCATATATGCTTTATAAGTTATAAATAAAATTTTACAAATATAATTTTACAAATATTCACAGTCCCTTCTAAAGTGTCAGATCTTCAAAGTATGTTGTCGGCTAATACAGAACTTATTCTGATTTGGAGAGCTCCACTTGAACCGAACGGAAAAATAGAGAAATATGAAGTATTCTTAAAGGTAATAAATGCAGATAAGAAAATTGGTTATCAATTAAAATTAATTAAAATTACTCAATTGTGTATCTCAAACTGATTTATTTTACATTTGTTAGTGCTCTACAGTATTCGAAATCAATCAAACTATGATGAAGCGCAATATTATTAAAATTGAATGCAAACATTTAATTTAACTATTTCAACATTAGATTTTTATTGAAATGTACTTTAATTATTATGTAGATTATGCTTTGTATACTAATTCTAGGTTGAAGAGTACTTTGGTTGTAAGAACTTAAAAATATCTATACTAACTAATCACACTATTATAAATTCTATTACAAACGTACCAACCATCACAATTCGAGATTTACATCCATACAGATCTTATAGTGCACAGGTCAGAGCTTATAATTCACGACATTTCAGCATGTTCGCAGAGACAACCTTTAAAACAGCACAGTCTGGTACATATATCATTTACTAGAATTATTGTTAATATTACAGATAAAGAATGCCAATCAATTTATTTATTTGTTTATTAATTTTTAATAATACTTTAATAATTAATTAAATACTTAAGTAATTGTATATTGATATCTTACATATGAAAGCTTCTCACAAAAAAAAAATAAGAAAATCAACGGTTTTATAGAGATACCATCAGAATTATTTAGTCAGTTGACAATACAAAATTGGAAACTGTCATGGAGTCCACCCGAAGATTGTACAACGATTTCGGGAGCACTGAAAGCCAGAATAAGAATACACGGCATTAGTGATGCTGTTAAATACTTTAATATAACCAAACAGACTAGCCGCAATTATATCGATTTGAGTGGATTAGATCCGAAATTAAACGGTCTTGAGCGATACATGGCAACAGTATATGTAATAAGAGAATTTATGAGCAAAGAAAATGCCTCCGCTTATAAAAAAATCGAGTTTGAAACTCCATCGACAGGTAAAACTTGATATTATTAGTACTTTGATAATTTTTTCTGTAATCATAATGTAATTGAAATAACAGCTCCGCCCGAAGTAACCAATTTAGAGATCGTCGAAATTGATACTCGTCAAAACTTGATACATCTGAGATGGCAAAGTCCGCTTCCACCTCTCAACGGAAAATTACGTATTTATGGTGTCCAGTTATGTGACACATATAGCAAACATTGTTCAGATATTCAAGTTCAATTCAATGAGTTTTGTGACTTGTGGGACGATTATATTTGTAAAGTTATTCAGAAACCTTTCATATTTTCTCTCAAAATAATTAAGGTAAAATAATATTAAGATCCATGACTTTTTCAATATTTCTGGTAAACATAAATAAATTTTGTGGCATAATAGAAAAAATAAGCTAATGAATATAAAAGTCATATAAAGAAATGTATTGTAGGTTTTCGCGTACAATATGGACGTTACTGAGCCAGGCCTTCCAGTCTTCGTGACTCGCGATATGCTTCATAATACAAGTAAAATTTCAAATTTAGTAAATAATTGTAAAAATGTTTATTATGTGCAATAAATAATTATTTAGTCTTCTTAGAATTTTTTCAGAATATATTGTAAAGTAATTTAAGTATTATTTAGAATTTTTCCAAAATATTGTAAATTAATTTAAGTATTGCTTCGAATAAATATTACAATCAGATTACATTTTAGCGCCGGATGCACCTGGAAATTATACTTTTACGATCAACAACAACAGCGTGGTTGATTTAAAATGGCTTCATCCTTGGAAGACAGGTGCTCCTCTTGAATATTTTCGCATTCGAATTGAAGAAATCTCCTCAAATCTGAGAAGACGCCCTTCTCGATCATTTATGGGCGAAATATTTGAATATCCGGTGACACAATACATGCGTAACTACAGCAAACAGTTATATTTGTTTCCGTCAACGCAATACATTATCTATATTCAAGCTGTGACAATTGAAAATAAATCTAGCAATACAAAGTTCGTGGAAGTTCATACGCCTTCAACTGCAGTTTTTGATGGCGTTCTAGACATAATAGACAAATTCGATTCCACGATTTTATTAAATATACCGTTTGTTATAAATGACACTCAAGATAGCATGATGTATGTCATAATAAAAGGCCATAATCCTTGCGAGCAATATTTGAAAATACCTGAGAAATTACGAACACGAGCAGGCATAAAGATAAACGAAATCGCATGGCTAACTGCTGAAGTTTCTGTATGTATATAAAATAGTTTTGACTTCTATGCATGATTTAATCATAAATAATCTTACAATAATAATTAAGTAATAATTGATTACAAAAATTTTAATAGCTGTAATCTTGTTTTATGTACATGTAACTAATTAAAATAAGATTAAAGTTACCTAAATTACAATTACAATATTAACACAAATGAAAAATAACTTTAAAATGCTGTATATTTAGAATAAAATATTTTTGCTTTTAATTGTGACAGACCAGTGAGTTCGCTGGCAAACAATTCACGGTCGGTGATAATTATATTTATGGTAATGCAAAGAATTGCCCATTAAAATCTAAAGGATATTATGAAATAGTGATTATCGTAACTGATCGGAATTTATTCACCGAGTCCATTATGCTTTCAAGATCGGTTCTTATTGGTGAAGTCCCACCGAAGCATCACGAAGCGTGGCTCATATCTGTTATATTACTCCTTGTTGTGGCAGGCGTAGCTTTTTACTTGTATCGAAGGTAGTATCTTTTCACTTCTTAGAGGACAAAGTAATACTGCTACTTCCATTTATTAATATTTGTCGTGCAATTTAGACAAAATTATCTGTTGATATCAAATCAAATTTAATACTATACAGATTAATTTTATGTCTATTGCAAGTTAACGTATAATTTTTTTTACAGGAAAAAGCAGAAATTAACTGAACAGTTAATGCAAGACGAGATGATTCTGTCGCAAAATATTGAAAACTTCGAACAAGAAACGAAATCTTCGATATCGAATTCAAAGCAAAATCTATCTACTTCTTCTGACAGACAATCCCTATCGCAGACGATCATACCGGAAGTACCTATCGCCGCAAATAACAACGAAGAGAAAACAGAAATGTCATCGTTAGTGAAGGTGAAAGATTTTGAAAATTATGTCAGGCAGGCGATACAATCAGGATTGCTCGATAAGCAATATGAGGTATGTTTTAATTTTGGTTTTAATTCTGAACTACTAAATTGTCTTCTCGATTGTTCTGAAAACTTAATATTTCTATTCTCTGAATTAAATAACAAAATCTTAATTATATATAAATCTTTATCAATTTATGGAGAATCATATTATTTTCTTTACTATAATAATCACAATTCACAAAAATATAATACAATAAGATAATTTTGCAATTTTTTTTTGAGACATTTTCAAGAGGACAAACGAAACCGTGGGATTATGGGAAATTACCGCAGAATAAATCTAAGAATCGATATGGAAATCTTATTGCGTGTAAGTAAAAAGTCGACCATAGAATAGTTTTGCGCAGCACTGACTTAATATCGTTTATTTGTGTTGATTTGTACAGATGATGAAACGCGTGTGATATTAAAGAAACTTCCGGATGACGCTCACTCCGATTACATCAACGCTAATTATATCACCGTAAGCCCTGATTAATCATAAGTGTTTCAGTTTCAAAGTATAAATAATATTTCTGTTTACATTAATGGCAATTTTTTAATGGCAATTTCTTAATTAAATTTAATTATTCCAAAAGGGTTATAAAAAGGATAAGCACTATATAGCAACACAAGGACCCAAACCTAATACAGTCATCGACTTCTGGCGTATGATTTGGCAGGAAAATGTTCTTATTATCTGCATGTTGACAAATGTGATTGAAAGTGGAAAAGTAAAATTCTTTTTGGAGTATGCTCATTAAATCATTATTGTTTTGCTATAAATAGTTTAATAATGGTTTTTCTAGACAAAATGCGAACAATATTGGCCAGATATCGGTAAGAAGAAGAAATACGGCGACATCATTGTACTAAATGCGAAGCACAATGTCTTTGCTGATTATTGCTTTAGAATTTTCAATGTCACTTGTGGAAAGAAAACTCGTAAGGTACCAACATTTTTTTATGCATATTAGATGCAATAACTTTTATTAAATAATACGCATCAATCATAGATAGAACATCTGCATTATACGGCTTGGCCAGACCATAGTGTGCCATTATATACGCACTCCATAGTCACGTACTTGAAGAAATTGTTGGCAACACCACCTGGAATCGGACCCGTGGTAGTCCATTGCAGTGCTGGCGTGGGAAGAACCGGGACCATCATTTTGTGCGATATTTGTCTCCGTCGAGCAGCAGCGGAAGGGGTAATATTTTTTATTTGTTTATCGCTTCTAATAAAATAACGCCATTTGCATAAGTAATTAACTGTATTTCAATATTTACTTCAGTAGCACAATTATTGGCGTAGTATTGCTCAAATATGATATTGACTTAACATTGGCTCAATATATCTTCAACATTTAATCAATATATATCGTTAATAAATTGTTACTAGGATTAGTAAATAAATTATATGAATGATAATGATTTTTATTGAATAAAATTATTTAGCTAGTTGATGTTTTCGCCGAAACGACGTCCATCAGAAGCGAAAGAGCTAACATGGTGGATAATAAACAACAATACCTGTTAGCGCATTTGGCATTAGTGGAATGTTTGCTTTCTATTCCAACCACATTGCCGTGTAATGAAATGTTACTAACACAAATTAAAGCGTTAAAGAAACAATTGCCGCTTCACCAGCAAAGGTATATCTTAAAAACTCGATTTCAATTTATGTTTATTGTTGAATTGTTTAAATTAGGTAATATTACAAAAATTAATTATTCTATGATCTTTAGATTACAGAATACTGCATGGCAAGATGAAGCCCTGCGACAAATCACGTCTCCTCCATCATTATCGGAGTGTAATCGAGTTAAAAATAGATTTCCGGAATTGATTTCAGGTTTGTATTTTAATTATATGGGATTTTATTTCATAAGCATATTAAAAATTCCAAATTTTTACTTTAATTATATGATGATAAGCCAAGAAATTAGATTAATGTTTTGTACAGTTAACAATAAATTCTTGATATAGTAGAAAATATCAGAAATTTAGAAAAATTTAAAAAAAAAATATTTTATTTTGTAGATAAGATCAGTAGAATATATTTGAAAAGATATCCAGCATCAGATGAAGACAGCGACTATTTATCCGCTGTTTATGTAGACGGAGTAAAAGTTCAGAATCAATATCTAGCTTCACAGCTTCCCATGCCATCAACGATTAATGATTTTTGGCGAATGATCGCTGAGTTTAAAGTTGAACTTATTCTAATGCTGCAACCACCTGATTTTCAGAATCCTGTATGTTTTTTTCTACATATTAATACAAATTATATTTATGAGAATGAAATGTTTACCAAAATCTAAATTATATAACTACAACAACTGTTTTGTTCATTTCTTAAAACTACATGAGCCTTGTTTAAACAAAATAAATCAACTAATTGAGATAATTTATAAAGTATAATATATAGCTGATTTATTTTGTTTATATGCGCAATTGCGCATATATTTTTAAATTATTAAATATCATATTGTAATAACTAAGTTATATAAATGCAGTTGTGTTTATAAATGCAATTATATATCCTTGAAATTACAGACTTGTTGCGCCATTGCTCCTACAAGCGGTGAGTTTAAACCAGTTCCATATTTAAATATCATAATGAAGGAAGTCGTAGAGTTGGAGTATTATACCTCACAAAAATTGTTGCTCATTGATAGTTCCGAGGTAAATCAATTCAATACGACAAGTTTGACAGTTTTCATTTGTCACTACCTATTTAGCTTGATGATGTTTTGTCGTAGAAACCCTCGAGAGAACAATTTGTTACTATACTATGTTTGACGGAGTGGAAACCTGGAAAGAATCAACTACCACCACCAGTTATAACAATGGTGACTCTTTGGCAAGCTGCGGAGAGAATTGCGAGAGGCGATGGGCCTACTGTCACACTTTGCCAGTAAAAATTATATACATATTATGATATTACTATTCTAAATCGAAAGATTGTCATATACTATAATTCAAATTATTATGTGTTTTTCTTTAATAATAAAAAACATTTTTTTAATACTTACATATTAATTTATATAATAATTTAATATTAAATAATTTTTTCAGAATTC